ACTTGAGAGGGGGAGAGTGAGGACAGCTGGGGGGGGGAGTGAGGACAGCTGTGGGGGAGTGAGGACAGCTGAGGGGGAGTGAGGACACTCCTCTGGGCCCAGGACCATGCTAAGTCCTTTCATTGTGTTACCTCATTTAACCCCATAGCCCCATATGAGATGAGCGCTCGCATTCTCCCAGGTTTTAGAGGGGACCCTCAGACTCAGGGAGGGCTGGTTGGGCATTGAGCTCTGTCACCCCGCCCATACCCAGCTGACCCGGTGTCCTGGGGTGGCTCACCCTGAACAGCAGCAGCGTCCCAGGCACCACGGCACAGAACAGCAGGATGATCCCCTCAGCTGTGATGATGCGGTTCTTGGTGCCCTCCCCCATGTCCAGGAAGGGTCTGGGGAGTCGCTCTGTGAGAAGGGGTGCTGCTCAGAGCCCCAGGGGCCTCCCGCCAGCTCCTCCCAGCAAACCCCACTACGCAGATGAGAAACTTTGCCCCTGTGTGTAAGCCGGCCCCAGCCAGAGGTGAAGGAATGTCTCTGTCCCCACTTCACAGACAAGGAAACCGAGTGTCCCTAGTGGGGGAGTGGCAGGCCATGGCACCAGGTCCTGGGACACTCACCACGCACACGAAGGTAGGTGCCGCAGGAGCCCTTGGCTTCGGGGTCCTGCCCGAACCGGCACTGGTATATGCCCCCGTGGCTCTTGTTCACATTCTCGATGATCAGCTTGCCCGTAGGGCCCGAGCCCGAGCCCAGGAATGTGGACGACCACTGGATGTAGTTCCCAGGGAGGATGAGCCACCATGTGATGTTGGAGCCAGTGGCATTGGTGCTGCTGTTGTCCAGGCAGTGCAGGTGGGCGTTTTCCCCAACAATTACCGTCACAGAGGGCTGATTCCAGTACTTATGGTCTGCGGAGAGGAGGGCGTGGGTGAGGGACTGGGGATGGGGACAAAGTACCAGCCCGGGGCTGCTGGGCTGCAACACTCCTGGGTGCAGTGGGGAGGAGTATGAGACACCCTTGTGGGGGACAGTGTGAGGACACCCTTGGGGAGGAGAGCAAAGACATCCCTGGTGGGGAGGAGTCTGAGATACCCCTGGGGAGGGAGAGCAAAGACACCCCTGGGGGGATAGTGAAGACACCCCCTGGGGGGAGTGAAGACACCCCTGGGGGGGATAGCGGCGAAGACACCCCTGGGGGGGAGAGCGAAGACAGCCCTGGGGGGAGAGCGAGGACACCCCTGGGGGGAGAGTGAAGACACCCCTGAGGGGGAGAGTGAAGACACCCTGGGGGGGAGAGCGAGGATACCCGAGGGAGAGCGGGGACACCGCTTGGGGGGAGAGCGAGGACACCCCTGGAGGGGAGAGCGAGGACACCCCCGAGGGGAGAGCGAGGACAACCCTGGGGGGGAGAGCGAGGACACCCCTGGGGAGGAGAGCGAAGACACCCCTGGGGAGGAGAGCAAAGACACCCCTCGGGGGGGAGAGCGAAGACAGCCCGTGGGGGGAGAGTGAGGACACCCCTGAGGGGAGGGTGAAGACACCCCTGGGGGAGGAGAGCGAAGATAGCCCCTCGGGGAGAGCGAAGACAGCCCCGGGGTGAGAGTGAAGACACCCCTGGAGGGGAGAGCAAACATACCCCTGGGGAGAGAGTGAAGACACCCCTCAGGGGGGAGAGCGAAGACACCCCTGGGGGGAGAGTGAGGACACCCCTCGGCGGGGAGAGCGAAGACACCCCTGGGGGGGAGAGCGAAGACACCCCT